ATATATTTATTCCTGCAGGGAAATTGACCCGATAAGTTGATAACATTCCTTCAAACCGATACCACTTATATTGTCGTATCTTGAAGTTATACATAAATATTCCGATATTGTTCAGTAGTACCATTACCTCACTAGAATATGAAAACAGATGGCTATACTGATAGATTTCTCGCAAAGTATCGATCAAACAATTTCAGATTTATGCTCGTTGCAATGGTAATAATTCGCAGTAAAAAAAGCGGAGCAGTGTAGTCGGACGGGGCCGACCATATGATACCCTACACAACCACCACAGAACTCTAACATTTGCGTATGTTTACTTCGAGCCTGATCAATATTTCGTGATATTTGCACCCTCTTGGCCGATTAGAGATCAACAGCACCTCTTCCTTACATTGACATATTTTCCGAATATCCCAATATTCTGTACAGCCCTTCTAATTACTTGTCCAGATTCACTTCACCGTGTGTTGTGATTTTCGGTTTTGTAGCCTATAGATTAGTTTTGGGTCCACTTCATTCCAAAATTTTTATCTGATCATCACAGAAATTAGATATAGGCGTTGTCCTTGAACATACCTGGATCCTCAAGGAAAATTTCAAAGCGATGAGCGCTATATTTCACTTCCCTATTGTGGCAATATGTTACTAAATAATATATGAAAACGTAAGCTCCTGAAAATATTTACCTGTAACTCCCACATCCGAGTACATACGACCATATAATTGGTATCAATTTAAAGGTCAACCACTCCTCTTGGATATACTATCAACTTCTTGGGTATATGTCCTTCAGGAGTAAATATATACGCTATAGTATACAAATTTTGTCATTTTTCACACAAAAGTCAGGGTCCATTTGACGCGCTAAATATTGACCGATCTTTATCAAAACATGCATGCTTATTCTCTGGCCAGATCCCCTTCTCCATGCAAAACTTCGCGGTGTTTGGGCCATAATTGCGGCCTCCGGAGCGACCAGAAAAACCGACAAAAATAACGTTTTTGGTCCATTTCATCCCCTAAATATTAACCGATCTTTTCCAAAAACAATAGGGGTCTTCATTGGCCAAAACCCATCCTACATGCAAAATTTCGTGAAGATTGGTCCATAACTGTGGCCTGTATCGTGTTTACAAATTATAATGGACAGACGGACGGACACACATGTCTAGATCGACTCAGCTAGTCGAGATATGACGATCGGTGTACTTAAAGGTGGGTCTAGGACCAATATTTCGCGGCGTTACGAACTTTTGGGGATGCACAAAGCTATAATACCCTGACAACATAGTTGTGTAGGGTATAATTATTTTGCTGTTTGGTGCATTCATTTGTGAGTTACAGGGTGTTAAAAATTGGAAGTGAACAAAGAGAAAATTCGGTACATTTTATAGTTTTTCTTTGACAAAGGCGAAAATGCAAGCCAAGCGGCTAATATTGTGAATGGTGTTTATAGTTCCGATACTGTAACAGCCAATTATGTGCAATTTTGGTTTCGTAGGAATTTTTGATGTTAAAGATGCACCTCGCACAGGTAGTCCGGGCGTCGAAAATTTCAATCGGAGAATTGATCGAAGTTGACCGGTATCTTATCTGTCGTAACATCGCCCAGGAACTAAAAATCAACCATAAAACCATAACAATAAAATAATGTATTTCTTTTTCCCCAACCTAATATATTCTTTAACATCCATATAAAATATGTTTATTTTAAAAATATAAAAAAATCGAACCAAACTTCTGTGATCTGCTCCGAAATATATGTTAAAATATCACACACAAATATGGGGTGCATATGTTTTTGTGTAAACTTTAACCATAACCTATGACACTAAAAGACACCTTAAAAACTAGACACAAAACAATATTTTAATATCATAGGTCTTATAACAGGTCGTTGGCATTGCAACCGCCTCTACACTCTCATCTGAAATGTATTATGCAAATTTTAGTTTAATGCCCGAAAAACTAATGGCATCTTTTTAAATGGAATATACAAGATTCAAAAGATACTAATTGATTGTTGACTTTAATGATCCCGCTGTTACACAGCTAGGTATGCAGCCAGCCACAAAACTAACCTACCTCAACTCCATAGAAATCCATGGAACACATGCAAAACATTAACATAACCCTACTGCAACAACAACAAAAATGGTGTTAATATGCATTTGAATTTATTATTGGACCAGTCAAACCAACAACAAAAAAAAATTGTAAACAAGTCTAGGGTCTCATGCAAATGCTAACATATCATATTAACAAATCATATTTTTCGGATATATAAATAAAATGGAACATCCACACAATATTCACAAATCGCATCGATTCATCGTTGTAAACACATCAAATCGAAAAAGAAAACAAAACAATATCCACCATGAAATTCATCATTGTCTTCGTTGCTCTATTCGCCTTGGCTTTGGCCTCCGATCCCAGAGATGCTGAAACTTTGCGTTACGATTCCAACGTAGAACCCGAACAATACCAATACGCTGTTGAGACCAGTGATGGCAAATCGGCCCAAGAAGAAGGACACGTTGAGAATTTGGGTACTGATGAAGAAGCTATCGCCGTTAAGGGTTCCTACTCCTACATCGGTGATGATGGTCAAACCTATACCGTCAACTATGTTGCTGACAGAAATGGTTTCCAACCTCAAGGTGCCCATTTGCCCGTTGCCTAAATAAAAAATATTCCCAACAATGGTTTTAAGTTGTTGTTAGTTTTCTAAGTAAAATAAATTTAAATTAAAAAACAAAAATTTTTAATTTTTTTAAATGCTGGTTGGTGGGTGAATCCAAGCTGGATAAAGACCGAAAAAAAAAATATTTTTTAAAAAAATCAATTGACGTTGAAACAAAATTTTTTGAAAAAATATGGGATTAAAAAGATATTTTCTCATGGATTTTTGTAAATATTTTTTTAGCAAGGGAATCAACTCAAAGAACCCAAGAATGCCACTGCTCAAATATATCTCTTCGGTGAAAAATTCGACTGGGACCATTAAATACTTGTAAAGGGAGTGTACCTCTATATGTTGTCAGGATATTCTAGCTTTGTGCAGCTCCAAAAGTTTGTAACGTCGCGAAATATTGGTCCTAGACCCACCTTTAAGTATACCGATCGTCACATCTCGACTAGCAGAGTCGATCTAGACATGTGTGTCCGTCCGTCTGCCCATTCGAATTTGTAAACACGATACAGGCCACAGTTATGGACTAATCTTCACGATATTTAGCATGTAGTATGGGTTCTACCCAATGAAGACTCCTATTGTTTTGGGTAAAGATCGTTTAATATTTAGGGGATGAAATGGACCAAAAACTTTATTTTTGTCTGATTTTCGGGTCGTTCCAGAAGCCGAACATCACAACACAACCCACGGTAAAGGGAATGCGGACAAGTAATTAGAAGCACTGTACTGAATATTGGGAATATTCGGAAAATATGTGAGCGTAAGGAAGAGGCGCTGTTGATCTCTAATCGGCCAAGAGGCAGCAAATATCACGGAATGTTGCCCAAGCTCGAAGTAAACATCCGCAGAAAGTTAGAGTTCCGTGGTGGTTTTGTTAGGGTATCGTATGGTCGGTCCCGTCCAACGATACGGCTCCGTTCACTTGTTTTTCATCTCGGCTTGTAATGATCTTCAAAGGATATTTAAAATATCATAAACAAATGATGTTTGTTCGCTTCTGATGATCTTTAATAAATACTTTTTTTTAACATCTTCGCTAGTGATGGTCTACAAAAATATTTTTTTTTTTAATTCTTCTCTGGCAATGCCCGTTAAAAAATATTTAAAAAAATTTTTTTTTCAAAAATTTTCGCTTGTTTTGGTCCTAAAAAATTAAGAACATTTTGCTGTGAAGACTTTAAAAAACTTCATCTCCTTAAAAAAAATTTTTTTTTTTTCTTCGATTGTAATTGAAGATCATTACAATCGAAGAATTTTTAACCAACCTAATATAGGGATGTTACATCCGCGGCTTTCTGAATCTAGAAAAAAATATTCTTTAAAAATCAACTACATGCTGGGCCACGCCTGTTGGGAAAAACGAAATTGAATATAGAAGTCACTTATTAATAACATTTCTCAAACTACAAGAACCCGAGATGGCAAATTCAAATCACTTTGGTGGGAATATGCGACTAATACCTTAAACGACACTGGTCGGAACATCGAAATATTTCTGCGAATTTTCAAAAAAAAAAATTAAAAATTCTTCGCTTGCAATTGTCTTCAAAAAAAATTTTTTTAAGTCTTCTCTTGCGAGAGTCTCATTTTTTCAATCTCAACTTGTGACGGCCTTTAAAAAATATTTAAAAAATTGTTTGTGGTGGTCGTAAAAAAATTTCAATTCTGACCTTTTTTAAATAATAAATAAATAATAAATAAGCTTTAATTTTAATGGACTTCAAAAAAAAATTCAAATTTTTTAATTCTTCACTTGCCTTGTCGTGGTTCTTAATTCTATTTTTTAAGCCACAATATTTTTGATTCTCAAGAAAATTATAAAACAAAATACAGTTGTATCATAATCTTCAGAAAAAATATTATTTAAAAAATCCAGTAAGAATACAAGGACTCATATTATCTTTGAAAAATATTATTTCTTGAGAGCTCTTCCCCAAATTTTTTTTTATTTAATGCATACTATCACCCATGTCCTGATGCTGAGGAATCCATGCCTGCCGCTGTGTCAGCAACCATTTTTTTAATCCACTCCATTCAAAATGTAATCTTTAAAAACAATTTGAATCAATTTGCTCACCTCTATAATATTCCAATTAATAAATATAGACAATAATCCGATTTCTTTTAACACTGACTGAACGCTTTTAATTCACCCAAGAATATTTCACTATTCATAGGGATAACAAAACTTATCCGAAACTATTTACACAAAAAGAAAATGAAAACAGACATTATAATTTAAATTAAAAAAAATAGAAAGAAATTATTATCCAGTATTGCGATGCGAAGAGACAACAGTGGTAGCTTATTTTGGTATATGGGCACCCTCGGGTTGGAAACCATTTTCATCGGCCACAAAGTTCACGGTGTATGTTTGACCATCCGGAGCTACCCATGACACGGAACCCTTCACCGATAATGATTCATTTTCAGTGCCAGCATTGAGAACGGTACCCTCTTCTGTGCGTGTTGTGCCATCGCTTAGGGTGTAACTGGAAGAAGGCAGGGTTTATTACTATGGTTTCCTGTAACATAGATTTCTTTTTATCTTACCTAAACTTATAGCCATCAATGCCGATATTTTCATTGGTTAACTCAACAATTTCCACATCCTTGCCGCCTTGAGGTGCTGCCCAGGAACAGGCCAAGACAATGCAGAAAATACCAAAGACTAGCATCTATTGTGGGTGGAGGATATTCCCCAAAGATGAAGAAAAAACAAATTAGAACTTTTGAAAATAATCCTTTTTGTTGGAACTGCAACAATACGCACCAATTTCATGTTGAAAATTTTTGTTGTTTTGCTAAGCAGCGCTGGCTAAGTGGACTTGAAGGTTTAGTTACAAACTGTAGAATACTTTCAGAACTGCAGCCAAGATGCATTTTATACGATTAGAGGCATTTTTGGCGATTCTTGAAGAAAACGACAGCTTTGAAGAGGCTACCACTGGCTGCAGTCATTGCATGCATGGTCATAAAATCTAAGGTTTGTAATTCTCTGTCTATTTGCAAACACATAGCGTCAGAAAGACGGACGGACGGACGGACAGACATGTATGCATTAAACGACCAGCACACGACATTTGTCCAGCTCCAACAGAGCCAGCCATCTAGCCACCCAACCAACCAATAATAATGTCAGACAACTTCTTTAGCATTTCGTCTAAGTTTAAATGCTAATCGCATGGAAAATGCAGTCAGGCACGCACACTGGCAGCGGCGGGTGCATGGCTCTGCTGCTGCAGCATTGCAACAACTTAACTCAAGCGATGATGAGTAAATATTGTTAAAATCCGTGATCAGACGGACGAACTGGCAGGCTGGCTGGCTGTTGTCTTGACGACAAGCTGTACGACGTGTGCCAGTAATGCAAGTAACATTTAAAAAAGAAAAATAGTCAATGATGCCACCAATCATCCTCCCCATCCCATTCCAATCGTATGAGATTCACACACATACACACTAACATATTTACTTACAAACATTTATTTGACAGATATTACAGTGATACGAGTTAGGTGGTCAAATGCTGATGTTTTGGACATCGAAGAACTTCTTAACGGCTGAAAATTCTCGGCAACGACATTCGGTATTAGCCGTTTATTAATTTCAAACTATGAACTTTTTACAGAAAACAAAACAAAAAAATTAAAAACTTGTCTTTACATGCGTGGCGTCTTCATAATTCTATTCTTAACATTACAAAACAATAACAAAAAGTTGTATACCTTGCAATGTCGTCAATTTTGAAAAAAACAAAAAATAGTCGGATGGGATTTTTACAAAAAAATATTCTCTCAAACAACATTAAAATGGATTTAAAAAATATATAGTTGCTTTTAAAAATCGTAATGGGCGGAGATTTTTTAAAATATTTCTTAAAACCCAAACTTTTGGTATATATTTTAAAATATTGTTCTCAACAAATCTTTCTTTCAAGGACTTGACAAAATTTGGAATTTTTCTACACCCCAAACATGTATTATTTTAAAGAATATTTTTCTAGGGATCATAACAGGTGTTAACTTTTCATGAAATATTTTATGGGGACCGTCAACCGTTTTTTGAAGAATATTTTATAGACTCCATAACAGACGCGGATTTTGTAAGGAATATTTTTAGAGGCCATAAACAATGTGGATTTTTTATAGAACACTTTTTAAAACGGAATGGAATTTTTAAGGAACAGGAATGGATATTTTAAGGAATATTTTTAGAGACCATACCAGGCGTGGATTTATTAAATAAATTTTCATAAGGACCATAACAGGCGTTAATTATACACTTTACCACACTGTGTGCATTTGTTTGTAACAGGCAAACGAGATAGACACATGGCTCCTTTTGAGAATATGCATAGAATCTCTTTCTGTGTCGATTTATGTATGTTCGTCCGTCCGTCTATTGATGTTAAATTGTAAACAAAGTACAGATCGCATTTATCATCCGATTGAAATTTGGTACAAGTCACTTATTTAGCCCAAGGTCGAACACTACTGAAATTGGAGAAAAATCGGTTCAGATTTATTTAGCATCAAATTTGGCACCAAAGTCATTCAATTTGCACGAATTTTGGCACAGCGTATTGAATTAACTCTAGAATGATGTGTACTCAGTTTCGTGAAAATCGGTTCAAATTTAGATATAGCTCCCATATATAGTTTAGCCCGATTTTAGGTACATGGTGCACTAATGTCCCTGAAAATCTTGAGATTTGCACGACTTTTGGCATAGCGTACTGAATTGAGTGTAGAATGACGTGTGCTAAGCTTCGTGAAAATCGGTTCAAATTTAGATATAGCTCCCATATGTAGTTTCATCCGATTTTATGTAATTGGTCCACCAAAGTCCCTATATATCTTTCGATGTGCAGAAATGGTGCACTAATGTCCCAGAAAATCATGAGATTTGCACGGCTTTTGGCATAGCGTACTGAAGTGAATGTAGAATGACGTGTGCTAAGTTTCGTGAAAATCGGTTCAAATTTAGATATAGCTCCCATATATAGTTTCGCCCGATTTTAGGTAAATGGTGCACCAAAGTCCCTGAAAATCGTTCGATTTGCACGAATTTCGGCACAGCGTAGTGAATTGAGTCTAGAATGAGGTGTGTTAAGTTTCGTGAAAATCGGTCCAGATTTCGATATAGCTCCCATATATAGCTTCGCCCGATTTTATGTTATTGGTGTTCCAAAGTCCATGCAAATCTCTTGATTTGCACCAATTTTGGCATAGCGTACTTAATTAAGTCTAGAATGATGTGTGCAAAGTTTCGTGAAAATCGGTCCACATTTAGATATAGCTCCGATATATTTTCATCCGATTTAAGGTAATTGGTGCACCAAAGACCCTATATATCTGTCGATTTCACAAAATTTGACACAGCGTAATGTGTGCTAAGTTTCATGAAAATCGGTTCAAATTTAGATATAGCTCCCATATATAGTTTCGCCCGATTTTAGGTAAATGGTGCACCAAATTCCCTTCAAAACTTTTGATTTGCACGAATTTTGGCATAGCGTACTTAATTAAGTCTAGAATGATGTGTGCAAAGTTTCGTGAAAATCGGTTCAGAATAAGATATAGCTCCGATATATTTTCATCCGATTTAAGGTAATTGGTGCACCAAAGACCCTATATATCTGTCGATTTGCACGAAATTTGACATAGCGTACTAAATTGCGGTTATAATAATGTGTGCAAAGTTTCGTAAAAATCGGTTCAGATTTAGATATAGCTCCCATATATAGTTTTGCCCGATATGAGGTAAATGGTGCACCAAAGTCTCTGAAAATCATTCGATTTGCACGAAATACGTCATAGCGTTCTTAATTAAGTCTACAATGATGTGTGCAAAGTTTCGTGAAAATCGGTTCAGATATAGATATAGCTCCCATATATAGTTTCACCCGATATTAGGTAAATGGTTCACCGAATTCCCTGCAAATCTTTTGATTTGCACGAATTTTGGCATAGGTTACTGAATTAAGTCTAGAATTATGTTGCTAAGCTTCGTGAAAAGATCCAATTAGTCTCTGGCAAGTTTCCCTGAAATCGGTTCAGATATAGATATATAACAAAAACGAGACGTCTGTTGAATACATATGTAGAATATACCTATAGTGGTGAAGGGTATCATATAGTCGGCCCAGTCCGACTTTACCGCTTTACTGGTTTTAACAAAAATTGTTTCTTACCAATACATGGATAAAAATTAAATTTTTAGAGATGGATTTTAATAAAACAAATTTTTAGGAGCCATAGCACCCATGGTTTTTATGGGTACTTTAGGCCGTAGATGTTTTAAAAATCGTTTTTAGGGCGTTGATTTTTTAAAGATAATTTTTAGGGCGTGGATTTTTGAAAGATAATTTTTAGGGCGTAGATTTATGAAAGATAATTTTTAGGGCGTGGATTTTTTAAAGATAACTTTTATTGATTTTCGAAGATATTTTTATGGCGCGATCTTAGCTGTGACAAATTCAGATTTATTTACCAACTTATTTGTTGTTTTTGTTGCCGCCGGCCCCTCGACTCGAATTTTTGTGCTTAATTGTTCATAACTTCTGCTTCTTCTTCTTACCTACGCATATTTTATATTTAATGTCAATTGATGGCGTTTTATGTACGTGTATTTGTATTGAAAAATATCAGCATCGCTCGCTTCGGCAAAAAGTAAATATCAAAACAGAGAAATATGCAATTTTGATTGGAATATGTTTTACAAATAACTTGGCGACATTTTGGTCAAGGACTAATTGCCATCTATGGGGGTGGCAATAAACATTTGTTTGACAAATGTCACATTTGAAACATTGTTGTAAATTAATTTGAATTCATCTACACGAGGATGGGCATTGGAAGTAATCAATCATGTGATACAAAAAATAATAATAAAATATTTAGGAAATATCATTGCAAGAAAAAATAAAATAAAATTAAAAATGTATTAATAATAATGTTTAAAAAAAAATTAAATATACAACGGTATATGATATAAAAATAATTTGATATGTATATAAAAGGTAGGAATATGTACAGAGATGCAATAAATTAAAGAGCCATTGGGAATGGCAATCAATTCAAAGGCTTCTACACATTGGGAATAATGAGGATGGTAATGGTAATTCCGTGTGTGTTCATAAATAACCAATCGAAGTTGAACAGGTTTTCGTGACACTCATAACCGACATTCCAAAACAACAGCAGCTGCAGCAGCTATCAGCGCCACTTTCAGCTGCCGTTTGTCCAGTTAACAGCCATTAGCACAGCTAAAGTACTTGTTTGGACATGGCAACAGATTCAATATTTTTTTGGGAGAGTTTTGAAATTTTATATTTTTTTGAAGAAGAAATAATTCAGAGATACCAGAACTTTGTTAAAAACATGTTTCTTTCACATATAAAACAATTGCATACAAGACATTACCCAACAAGTCAAAGTACAACTTGATTAAAGGAAATATTTTCAAAATAAATTATAACCAGAAATTGTAGGTTGTATATAAGGAGACCATCAAAATTCAAAATTTGGGAATTGAAATTGAATTTATGAATTAAAATTGGAATTTTAATTTTGACAATTAGAAACGGAACTGTCTGGGTAATGTTTTTAATAACGGAATAGAAATGCCAAGTAAAAAAAAAATTACAGTGAGTTTAGCTAGACGGTAATGGGTGTTAAAATGTTTATACCCTTCACCACACTGTGGTATTATGTCTTTGTGCATATGCTTGTAACAGGCAAAAGGAAACGAGATAGACACATGGTTCCTTTCGAGAATATGCATAGAATCACTTTCTGAGTCAATTTATATCCGTTCGTCCGTCCGTCTGTAGATGTTAAATTTTAAACAAAGTACAGGTCGCATTTATGATCCGATTTGGATGAAATTTGGCACAGGTCACTTATTCGGCCCAATGACGAACCCTATTGAAATGGAGAAATATCGGTTCAGATTTAGATATAGCTCCCATATATATTTTCGTCCGATTTTATGTAAATGGTGCACCAAAGTCCGTATATATCATTCGATTTGCACGAAATTTGGCATAGCGTACTGAATTAAGTCTAGAATGATGTCTGCTAAGTTTCGTGAAAATCGGTTCAGATTTAGATATAGATCCTATATATATATTTTCGTCCAATTTTAAGTAAATGGTGCACCAAAGTCCCTATATATCTCTCGATTTGCACGAAATTTGGCATAGCGTACTGAATTATGTAAAGAACGATGTGTGCTACGTTTCATGAAAATCGGTTCAGATTTAGATATAGCTCCCATATATATTTTCGTCCGATTTTATGTATTTGGTGCACCAAAGTCCCGAAAGTCACGAAATTTGGCACAGCGTAATGAATTAGGTCTATAATGATGTGTGTCAAGTTTCGTGAAAATCGGTTCAGATTTAGATATAGCTCCCATATATATTTTCGTCCGATTTAAGGAAAATGGTGCACCAAAGTCCTTATATATTTCGATTTGCACGAAATTTGGCACAGCGTAATGAATTAGGTCTATAATGATGTGTGTCAAGTTTCGTGAAAATCGGTTCAGATTTAGATATAGCTCCCATATATATTTTCGTCCGATTTAAGGTAAATTGTGTACCAAAGTCCCTTAATATCTTTCAGTTTGCACAATATTTGGTACAGTGTAATGAATTAGGTCTAGAATGATGTGTGTTAAGTTTCCTGAAATCGGTTCAGATTTATATATAGCTTCTGTATCTGACCAAATGAAAAATTTTGTATTTGTTGCAGAATGACATGTTTATTGATCCAATTTCATTTTACTGGTCCTTTAAAATGCGACGTGTGTTAGGTTTCATCTGTTGAATATACCCAAAGTGGTGAAGGGTATCATATAGTCGACCCCGTCCGTCTTTACTACTTTCCTTTCTGTTTTTTTTTTTGAAATTTACGTTGGTTAAGGTCTTTGAAATTACTTTTTTACGAGTCCACACCAAAAATATCCTATAAAACATCGACCCCAATTTGGATCTCTTAAAAAACTACACCTTCAAAAATCCACATTTGTTCAGGTCCAAAAAATATTCTTTACCTTTATTCAGTATGTTCACATGACATTTTTAAAACCAGTGTATACAAAAGACTTAAGACACAAACGCCCATCAAACATGTTTTGGATTTGCCAAAATTCAATTGAATTCGATTTCCATACTAAATAGAGGGCTTACGAAACACCCAACAAATAACAAAACAAGTATAGAAATAATTAACAATTCCGTTATATTTTAATAATTGAAAGCAAAATTCAAAACGATCAAACATTGAGAAACAAGTTCAAACTTTCAAGCAAAAGACAAGTTTCTTCCTCTAGAATTAGAAATTCCATTCGAATACAAATTTTCACTATAAATAGGCGAAAGTATCAGCCAGAAAGTATCCAGAACGTTTTCAACCATCCAAGGATAAACAAAACCCACAATTCCAAGCAACATGAAATTCATCATTGTCTTCGCTGCTCTCTTCGCCGTCGCCATGGCCGGTGGTAATCCCGATGTCCAAATTGTCAAGTTGGAGAGTGATGTTGGTCCCGAAAGCTTCCAATACACCGCCGAAACTTCTGATGGTACATACGAAACTGCCGCTGGTCATTTGGAAAATGCTGGCAGCGAACATGAAGCTATCAAGGTTACCGGTTCCTACAGCTGGGTTGATGAAAAGACTGGCGAAAAATTCACCGTTGAATATGTTGCCGATGAAAACGGTTACCAACCCAAGGGTGCCCATTTGCCCGTTGCCTAAATAAATTACGAATTGTTTGGAATTTTTATTGAAATAAATAAAGAAAAAGCAATTGAAATATAGAACAAACTAAATGAAAAGTGTGTACTGATTTTTTCTTGTAATGGGAAAATAAAAGTAAAAAATATTTTAACAAAAAAAAATAAAGAAAATACAAATTAATTTGAAAAATCCACGGCTCTATGTTTGGTGGTTCTTGAAAAAAAATATATAAAAAATACATGCCTCTTAACCCTTTATGGCCCAATGTTGCCCACGGGCAACAAAATATTCTAGAGCTTATCTATACTAATAAAAGAGTAAAGTGATTAACTGACTGATTTAACGATACATCAACGCCCAGACGAAACGGCTGAAGCTAGATTTTTGAAATTTTGGGTGAGGGTCACACTTGGTCCAAAGGTGACAGGTTAGGCTGGGTTTTTGGAAATTCGTACTAGAACGGTACAAAAGGTAGTAAATGTGATACCATTTGTATTTGGCGAACCGGTAGAGCTAGAACTCTTATACTCACTGATGGAGTGTAGAATAGATATAGCAAATGGTTTTTTGGACATTCGAACAATAAGTATGTGAAAAGTACTAAACTGTACTAAATTTGGTACAATTTTGTAGCATGTGAATGGGATAGGAATAGGGTATAATAGGGTTGAGATGTAGGGTCTATTTAAGGAGATGGTTTTGAAAGCGTGTACTTATGTGTACGAAAAGTACTATATGGTACTATATTTGGTACAAATTCCAGTTCGAGCTGCAATAGTGGAATTTGAAATTTACATTACCGTCGGAGTGTAGGATTGGGATATGGACGTAGTTTTTGAAATTTGTTACTTATGTATACGAAAAGTACTAAATCGTACTGTAATCGGTACAGTTTAAATTTGGGTGAACCGATAGAGCGAGAAGAGCGTGGGATCGGGGTCAGGATTATGTTTAAGAAATTAATACTTATGGGTACAAAATAGTACTAAATTTGGTACAAATTGAATTTTAGGTGAACCAATAGAGCTCGAATCATGAAATTTGGAGTCAGGATCACTGTTAAGGTGTAAGATTGAGATATGTAAAAGTTTTAGAAATTTGTACTAATGTGTACTAAATTTGTTACAATTTGAATTGTGAGTGAACCGATAGAGTTGGAATCCTAAAAATTTGATTTAGGATCATTGTGGAGGTGTAGGATTGGGGTATGTAGGAAGTTTTGGAAATTGGTACTACTGTGTACTAAATTTGGTACAATTTGAATTGTGGGTGAACCGATAGCGTTGGAATCTTGAAATTTTGATTTAGGAACACTGTTGAGGTGTAGGATTGGGGTATGTAGGTTTGGAAATTCGTACTTCTGTGTACTAAATTTAGTACGATTTCATTTGTGTGTGAATCGATAGAGTTGGAATCTTGAAATTTTGATTTAGGATTACTGTGGAGGTGTAGAATTTGGGTATGTAGGAAAGTTTGGAAATTGGTGCTACTATGTACTAAATTTAGTGCGATTTGATTTGTGGGTGAACCGATAGAGTTGGAATCTTGCAATTTTTATTTAGGAACACTGTGGAGGTGTAGTATTGGGGGTATGTAGGAAGATTTGAAAATTGTGGGTGAACCTATAGGGTTGGAGTCCTGAAACTTGGATTTAGGATAAGTGTGGGGAGTAAGATTGGCGTATATAGAATGTTTTGGAAATTGGTACTACTGGGTATTTGTAAAACAATTTTTGACAAGTTATCAAAGACGTAAGTTTTTTAAAAATATTTTTGGATAAATATCATACGCGTGGATTTCATAAAAAAAAATGTCAATGCTTTTCATATTCTTAAGGTACTAAAATATATTCGATTTATTTCATCATTTAGGGGCTTTTAAGGTGTCAGTTATTAATTGCAGAATCTATTAAAACAGGAAATATTAGAAATTGATTTTCTATTGACATTTAATCAAAGTTCTCCACCCAACAAACAAACACACACACTCACTCACACATACATGCAAAGAATAAAACCCCAAATGAAATCAAAAGTGTGAAAACTGGTTTCATTAAAATAAAAGTTGATTAACCAATATGCCAGCTATACCAGCAATAAGCAATACCAAAGAAAAATTAAACAAAAATTGGCAATACGATCTTCATAAAGAAAAAGAAGAAGAAGATTCAAAAGCAACCGCAACAACAATAAACATGCTTGGATTTATGGTTAACATCGATGTGATAATTTCACGGAACACGTTGAACAAAAAACAATAATTTTATTTTAGCCGGTATTTTTTTCTTCATTTGCAGCTAATCAGGCAAGCCAACCAACCAGCCAGCCAGAGCCACCCCAAAACGGCCAATAAATAAGGCAATGAAGTATCATGCACACACTCACACAAAATATGATTTTTGTGTGGTGGCAAACTGGCTTTTAACAGCAGCAATTGCTGCTGCATCAGTCGCATTGTACCAACATACACACGAACATCTATACATCTGTGGCTACTTGGCAGCGTTTAAAATCTCATCAAACAAGATTATCGTGAAGAAGAGACTAAACAGCATTGGATGACTTTATATGGCTAAGACATGATGAAGAAGCTGGAAACAGAAAAAAGCAAAACAACCGGAGAAGACACATGAAAGAGTGAGAAGCGCACGCGTCAACCTTGAACGAAGTAAAGACTGGAAACAAAAAAAAAACCAACAACAACAACAGCTCATCAATAAACCAGAAAAGTGAATCTTCTTCTTTTGCTGCTGTAGCAACAGAAATTATGACCAAAAGCAGAAATAGCCAGAAATGTCATGGCAGTGCTGCGGGGTGGACGGGGAGAAAAAGCACACCATTTTAACATTCACACAAAAAATAGCATACAAATACTTGTTGTACGCATGCACAACACAAGCAAACGCACTCATTCGCTAACCCACTCACTGTTTGACATCGTCAACTTTGGCTGTCAATGAAAATACAAAAAAAAAACATAAATTTAATGAAGAATACCGGTTGGAGTATTTTATGATGTAACATTTTCTTGCTATAGAACATATTTACAAGCAGGCAACAACAGCAACAACTACAAACCAGAAAATAAGTCGTTACAGCCTAAATGGATTTTGTAGGTTACTGTGGCCGCTTCAATATGAAGGACTATTCCGCAGAGAAATAAATTTATTTATAACCGAAAAAAAACTGGATACAGTTTTGACATTCAAATCAGAACAATGGGTCGACAGTTAATGTCTTCTTTAAGACACACATTTTTAAGAAAGGTTATAATAGGCGTGATTTTTTTTTAAAATTATTTTTTGGATGACTTATCAGAGGCGTGGGGTGGAGTAGGGGATGATATATACCAAGCAACGGCTCTGATTGGCTTTAACATGGCGAAGTCTAGGCTTATCTTGGCCCCTCTTTCGTGGTGCCTCCTGGGGTAGCTATTTTCATCACCCGATGAAATAGTGAGCTAATATGTGCGGCGAGTTCACCCATAAGAACTATAAACAAATTGGTTGAGGCGTCGGGTTAGTTGCCCACACTCGGAAAACCGAATCTACTATGAAAAAGCAAAGAAAAAGAAAACCAAATCTACCTAATGTTGACGACCCCCGCAAACGTATAAAGGACCAAGATCTGCGAATCTGGACTTGGAATGTACGGACGTTGTGCAGAACAGGCGCAGTATTCGCTTTGGCGGATATACTCAAGAAGTACAAAGCCGATATTATTGTCTTACAGAAAATGCGATGGTGCGACTGGCGTAAGTAAATCAGATTATTACGCCCTGTATTATAGTTGCCATGAAACGAGACGTGAATTTGGCTGCGAATTTAAGGTTAACAAGGGAATAAAAGACATCGTCTCCAGATTCACTCCAGTAGATGAGCGAATTGCTATAATCCGTATAAAAGCGAAGTTCTTCTACGTCAGTCTTTTTTGCGCCCATGCTCCGACTGAAGACAAAGATGAACAGACCAAAGACATTTTTACGAGCGCCTAGAAACTGCATATGCCCTGGCCATGAAATTAAAATTCTGCTAGAAGATTTTAATGCAAAAATCGGAAGGGAAAATATTTTTGGTCCCACCGTCGGAAAATTCAGCCTCCATGAAGAAACATCCGACAACGGCATGAGGTTGATTGACTTCGCGGTAGCAAAAAACATGCAGCACAAGATTCAAGAATCTCGATATACACAAGGCCACCTGGATTTCTCCTGATCGAACAACGAGAAATCAAATCGCCCATGTTGTGATAGACGGAAGCCATTCGTCCAGTGTTTTAGACGTTCAATCGATACAGGGAGCGAATATCGATTCGGACCATTAGCTTGTGGCAGCCAAGGTTCGCACCCGTCTTAATGTAGCAGCAAAGGTGCGGAAACTCGACGTCGATAAGCTGCAAACACAACAAGTGGCAGAGGCCGGCTCCGATCAAATTACCCAACTGCTAGACGAAAGCACTTCTTGTCCCGATATTAGTATAGAAGCACAATGGCAAAGAATTGCCCACTCCCTACAAACTGCAGGCAAATCAAAACTTAGGTATCAAAAACCAGCATCAAGAAACCCATGAAAAACGCAGCGTATAGGGCAACCCTGCAGACAGTAGCAACACGTAATGCGATGGAGAATTATCGGGACAAAAGGAGAAACGTATTTTCAATAAAAGAAGAAAGAACAAGAAAAACGTGAGCGTGAGCAAATCGAGATGTACAGGAGTCAGAATAAAGTCCGAAAATTCTACCAACGGGTAAAACACCAAACCGAAGGCTTTGGTGAAGGCACATCCTCCTGTAGAGATGAAGATAGAAACCTGGTGACTGATACAGACAGCGTGCTGAGGATCTGGAAGGAGAATTTTGAAAAATTGCTGGTATCAAATAGTAGCAGTGAGGTGGATATCCCAGAACCAATAAGAGATGACGGTATAGAGTGTATACCACCTAGCCAAGATGAGGTCAGAATAGCAATCAATCGGCTAATGAATAATAAAGCAGCAGGTGCCGATGGGTTTCAAGACGAATTATTCAAGACTGGTGATCAAA